CTACTCTTCTACACTCTATTGTAATGCACTCTATCATACTCTACTTCACTCTACTCTACCCACTCTACTCTACTCTACTCTACTCTACTCTACTCGACTCTACTCTACTCTACTCTACTCTACTCTACTCTACTCTACTCTACTCTACTCTACTCTTCTACACTCTACTGTAAGGCATTCTACAATACTCTAGTCTACGACAAACTATGACACTCTACTCTTCTCTACAACACTCTACTCTTCTCTACGACACTCTACTCTACTCTATGATAGTCTACTATACTCTCCAACAATCTATTCTACTCTACGACATTATAGGATACTCTACTCTACTCTGCAACAGTGTATTCCACTCTACGACACTGTAGGACACTCTACTCTACTCTATGACATTGTACTCTACTTTACTCTACGACATTCTACTCTACTCTACTCTACTCTACGACCCTTTGGTATACTCTACAACAATGTACTCTACTCCACTCTACAACACTCTACTTTATTGAACGACACTCTATGACACTCTACGACACTTAATAACACTCTACTCTCCTCTACTCTACGCCACTCTACTCTATGCTATGACACTTTACAATACTCTACTCTACATTACTGTACTCTGTGACACTCTACTCTACTCTACGCTATGACACTCTACTCTACGACACTCTACTTTATGAAACTCTACTCTACGATACTCTAAAATACTCTACGACTACTCTTCTCTACTCTACGACTACTCTTCTTTACTCTACGACACTCTACGACACTCTACAAAACTCTATTGTACGACACTCTACAACACTCTACTCTACGATACGACACTCTACTCTACTATACTCTACTCTATGACACTATACTACACTTTATTGTACTCTGCTCTACTCTACTCTATTCTACTCCACTCTACTTTACTCCACGACACTCTACTCTACACTTCTCTACTCCTCTCTACTCTACTCTACTCTACGACACTCCACTCTACGACACCCTACTCGACGACACTCTACGACACTCTACGACACTCTAGCATAATCTACGACTACTCTTTTCTACTCTATGACACTCTAGCATAATCTACAACTACTCTTTTCTACTCTATGGCACTCTAAAACACTCTATGACACTCTTTTGTACTCTATGACACTCTACGACACTCTACGCTATAGTACGACACTATACAACACTCCACTATACTACTTTTCTCTCGTACTTTACTCTACTACACTCTACTCTACTCTAAGACACTCTTCAACACTTTACTTTACGACACTCTACTCTACGACACTCTTCTCTACTTACGACGCTCTGCTCTTCTCTACAACACTATGTTCTACTTTATGACACTGTAGGACACTCTACTCTACTTCACAACACACTATTCTACTGTACGACATTGTAGGACAATCCACTCTACTCAATGATATTGTACTCTACTCTACTCTGTGACATTCTACTCTACTCTATGACACTCTATGACACTCTACTCTACTCTAGGACACTCTAGGACACTCTACTTTACTCTACAACAGTGTACTCTACTCCACTCTACTCCACTCTACTCCACTCTACTCCACCCTACTCTACTCAACGGCATTCTACAACACTCTACTTTACGCTATGACACTGTATAACACTCTACTCTATTCTACTCTACTCTACGACATTGTACTTTGCGACACTCTACTCTACTCTATGACACTCTACAATACTCTACTTTACTTTACTCTACTCTACAATACTCTACGACTTGTTTACTCTACTCTACGACACTCTACGACACTCTACCACACTTTACGACACTCTACATGATTACACTCTACGACACTCTACGACACTCTACGACACTCTTCTGTACTTTATGACACTCTACGACACTCTTATGTACTCTGTGACAATCTACGACACTCTACAAAACTCTGCTCTACTGTACTCTACTCTAGTCTACGACAGTCTACTCTATTATACTCTACTTTAGAACACTATATGTCACTCTACTCTACGACACTATACGATGCTCTATTCTATGACACTCTACTCTACTCCACTCTACTTTACTTTACTCAACCCACTGTACTCTACTCTACTCTACTACACTCTACTTTACCACACTCTACTCTACTTTAAGAAACGCCACAACACTCTACTCTACTGTACTCGATGACACTCTACTCTACTTTGCGACACTCTACTTCACTCTACTTCACTCTACTTTACTCAACTCTACCCACTCTATTTTACTCTACTATACTCTACTCTACTAAACTTTACTCTAAAACTAGCTACAACACTTTACTTTACTGTACTTGATGATAATTTACTCTACTCTACTTTACGATACTCTACTCTACTCTATTGTATAAAACTCTACTATAGTCTACTCTACTCTACTCTAGTCTACTCTACTCTACTCTATTCTATGACACTCTAAAAAAATCTTCTCTACTCTACTCTTCTCTACTCTATTCTATGACACTCTCAAAAAATTTTCTCTACTCTACTCTATTCTACTCTACTCTACTCTACTCTACTCTACTCTACTCTACTCTACTCTTCTCTACTCTACTCTACTTTACTCTACTCTACTCTACTCTACTCTACTCTACTCAACAATACTCTACTCTACTCCACTCTACTTTACTCTACTCTACCCACTCTACTCTACTCTACTCTACTCTACTTTGCTCTACTCTACTCTAAGACACTCTACAACACTCCACTTTTCGACACTTTACGACACTCTACTTTACTGTTTAACACTCTACTATAGTCTACGACAGTCTACTCTACTCCACTTTACTCCACCCTACAATACGGCACTCTACTGTACTGTACTCTATGACACTCTACTCTACTCTACTCTACTCTACTCTACTCTACTCTACTCTACTCTACTCTACTCTACTCTACTCCACTCTACTTTACTCTACTCTACTCTACTCTACTCTACTCTACTACACTTTTTTATACTCTACGACACTCTACTCTACTCTCTATGACATTATATTGTACTCTACTCTAAGTCAATTTACTCTATGATACTCGAGGCACTTTACTCTCCTCTACGACACTCTGTTGTAATCTACTCGACGACACTCTATGACACTCTACGACACTCTACGACACTCTACTCAACTCTATGACACTCTATGACACTCTACTCTACTCTACGACAAATCTGCTCTACGATACTCTCATCTACGACACTTTACCATCCTCTATAACACTCTACGACACTCTACGACACTTTACTGAACTCTATGACACTCTACTCTATTCTATGGTATTGTACTCTTCTCTACTCTACTCTATCCTACTCTACTCTTCTCTACTCTACTTTACTCTACTCTACTCTACTCTACTCTACTTTACTCTACTCTACTTTACTCTGCTCTATGCTACTTTATGCTAATCTACTATACTCTACTCTACCCTACTCTACTCTACTGTACTCTACTCTACTCTAGTCTACTCTACTCTACTCTACTCTACTCTACTGTATGACACTCCACGATACTTCACAACACTGTACACCACTCTATAACACTTTACGACAATAAAATCTACTCTATTCTACGATACTCTACTCCACTTGGCGACATTCTAGGACACTCTACTTTACTCTAAGACATTGTATTCTACTCCACTCTACGACACTCTACTCTACTCTGCGACACTCTACGACACTATACTTTACGACACTCTACTCTACTCTGCGACACTCTGTGACACTATACTTTACGACACTCTATGACACTCTGTTCTACTGTACACTACTCTATGACACGCTACTCTACTGTGGAATACTCTACTCTACTCTATGACGCTCTATGACACTCTACTCTTCTCTGCTCTACGACACTCTACTCTACTTTACTCTACGACACTATACTTTACGACACTCTATGATACTTTATTCTACTGTACTCTACTCTATGACACGCTACTCTACTGTGGAATACTCTATTGTACTCTATGACACTCTAGGACACTCTACTCTACTTTACTCTACTCCTCGTCACTCAGAGTCTACTTTACCGTACGACGATCTACTCTACTTTACTCTACTGTACTGTACGACAGTCTACTGTACGATACTCTACTCTACTCTACGACACTTTACTCTCCTCTACGACACTCTACTGTAATCTACCTCATGACACTCTAGTGTAGTCTACTGGACGGCACTCTACTGTAATCCACTCGATAACACTCTAAGACACTTTACTCCACTCTATGACATTATACTCTGCTTTACTCTACTCTACTCTGCTCAACTCTACTTTACTCTACTCTACTCTACTCTACTCTACTCTACTCTACTCTACTCTACTCTACTCTACTCTACTCTACTCTACTCTATTCTACTCTACTCTACTCTACTCTACTCTACTCTACTCTACTCTACTCTACTCTATTTTGCTATACTCTACTCTACTCTACTCTACTCTACTCTACTCTACTCTACACTACTCTACTCTACTCTCCACTCTACAATAATCTACGCTACGATAATCTACTCTATGATACCTTACTCTACGAAATTATACTCTCCTCTAAGATACTCTACTGTACTCTACTCTACGACACTCTACGATACTCTATGACATTCTATGACACTCTACTCTACCCGTATGACACTCTACTCTACTTCAGTGTACTCTATGACACCCTACTCGATTTTACTCTACTCCACTCTACTCTTCTGTACTCTATGACACTCTCTACAACACTCTACTCTACGACACCCTACTCTACTTTACTCCTCTATGACACTCTACTCTACTATACTCAGGGTTGTCGACCCTCGGCCCCGGGACCCCGCCGGGGTTCCGGGGTTCCGGGGGTTGGCACCCAGGACCCCGGCCCTAGTATGGGAAAAAATAATAATAATAATAATAATAAAAAATAAAAAATAAACATTGGGGGGTGCGCACCGCCGGCGTGCAGCCCCTGGCATTTTTTGTGTTGTGCAGAAAATGCCCTGACACGGGGTTCCCCCCGGGGGCACGGATCCCCCTTGGCGGGTGCGGGGTTGCCCTAGCGAGGGGGCGGGGATGGGCTGGCGGGCCGCTGTGCCGAGGTTGCGGAGCTGGTGGTGCGGTGGCGGGGGTAGCATGCGGGGCAGCGGGGTTGCAGGGTTTGCGGTGCCAGGGAGCGGGGTTTGCCGGTGCCGGGGGTGACCCGGGGGTCGGGGCCGGGGGTCGGGGCCGGGTTGTCGGGGCCGGGGATCAGGGTTTGGGGGGTGTCGGGGTCGGCGGCGGGTTGCGGAGTGCGGTGCCAGGGTGGCCAAGCGGGGTGCGTTGGCGAGGTCACACAGCGGGATGGGGGGCAGGGACCGGGGTGTCGGGTGCGGTGCCTGGGTGACGGGGCGGGGTGCGTGGCACTGCATGCCACTGCGTGGGCGAGGCGTCGAGGTCACTCAGGCGACGGGGCGTGCTTGCAGGTGCCGGGGGACGTGGCCCGCGCGGGGGGTGGGGGGCCCTGGGGGCACTGGGCGCCCTGGGGGAATGGTGGACAGACCTGCCAGTTGCATGCAGGTCTGGCTACCAGTAGCCCATGTCCTAGCTGGCCAGGTGTGGCCAGGCGATGGGAGGGTGGCCCTGGGCTGGGCTGGGGGCAATTATGGTGACCTTGTGTAAGCAAAAAAGAGGGGTAGTGTGTGGGTTGCGTGGGGTGCCATGTGGGCTACCATGTGGGGTGGGTGCGGTGCTACGTGTAGGCTGGGTGGGGCACTACGTGTGTGCTGGGTGGGGTACTACATGGGCTGGGTGAGGTACCATGTAGGTAGAGTGTGTAGGCTGGGTGTGGTAGTATGTTGGCAGGGTGTGGCATTTATGTGGGCAGGGGGTGGTAATATGTGGGCTGGGTGGTGTGCTATGTGGGCTGAAGGTTAGTCAATATTAGTTTTGTCGAGCGTTTGCATTTTTTTTTTTTTTTTTTTTTTTTTTTTTTTAAT